TCCACTCTATCCAGTCTTTTGCGCATGTTATGTATTGTCGAGATCTCGATTTTGTGTCTGTCTGTATGTATGTAAAGATGTCGTAATTCCGGGGAAATAGGGGGGCGGTCAAAATTTGTTTGTCGAGTATGATTCTTCTCAGGACTTCAGTTTTAATACGAGCTAGCTTATGATGCAAACGATCGACAATATTTTGAATAAATCAGGTGAGGTCACTTTGTTTCTTTCTGGTGATATACATGAAGGCATTTATATGTGCATCTGCGTGTAGTGCTGTTTAGTGTTCGATGTAGAGGTACTGAAACAATATGATTTCATGAATTTATTGGCAGTTTTAATAGGATACTATCACTGTCACTGATAGATCTATTCGCCAATAATGCTTTATAAATACAAGGAGTGAAAAATAATGTAGTTTTAGTTTATTTGTTTGCATGGCGATGCATGGCGATGTGCTAAGGCGATGAGTTTATAGTGTTCATTCTAGATGTTAAAAGCCAAATTATGACCTTTCAGCACGTTTTAAAAACAAACGCAGAAATATGTTGTAATAATTAATAATCAGGCTTAATAAGATTCCTATAGCAACTCATTGTGGATTGTTATCTGCATATATTAACTTACCAGCAGTTACATGTAATAAGTACGTTGACCAACTTTTGTACAAGATATTATGGTTTGTTAATTTAACTCTGAGATATGTCCATTGTTAGGCATAATTAATATGAAATAATCCTACCAGCCAGTCATATCAGTGCCGTAGCAAGATCGATAATTGGGGGGGGGGGTGCATATTCATATATTCTAGTTCACAGACCATAAAGAAATTAATAACGCAGAACACGAATATATGAATATGAGCCCCCCCCCCTCCCATTATCGAGCTTGCTACGGCACTGCATATATTCACCTGGCTGTGTCACTACATTTCAAGGTATACTATATCAATAATGCTCACAATTTCTTTCTTATTACATAGTTTTGCAGTTTTGACTGATTCAGTGGCAAGCTAGCCATGGCAGCTGGTCATGCTATGCTAATAAACCTGCGTCATATAATGTAAATGTAATAAATTAATAATGTAAATAATTAAACATTTGCACAGCATGACCTGTTCCTATGGCTAGCTTTGCCACTGACAGTATTATAATTATACATACAAGAGCAGGAAATTATAAGCATTGAAGGTATTCATATAAAATCGCCCATGCGAAGAAGTAGAATATTTAGCTCACCTTCGACTTTGTACAATGTGTTTGATACTCAAATTGCACTTTTCTTACTTCCTGAATAGTCATCTTTGGGGCTGTTCATATGTTGGAAGGCGGGTGTCTTTGATGTATTGAAATAAGTCACCAGGTTACACGAAAGTTCAAATACTGGTTAACAGAACTCAGATGTTGTAGTTTAAGAAGATTATTATTCCTACTTGAACAACCTTTCGGTCAACCTCGTTCCCAGGGTCAGACCCTGGGAACGAGGTTGCCTTTCGTTTACAGTTAACTATAATCTATCTCTAGAAAATAATTTAGTGCTTTTTCTTAAGCATGCGCCATAACTTATTTCAATACATCAAAATAATCCAGCCTCACATCGCTTCTTTGCAAAGCAGGATCATAGAAACAGTCCTTTATTCAGCAACTTGTGAGGCAGCACTTTCCTTGCGATAGTAACTTCTAGTAATTAGCATATATTTAAGTACTGTTTAATAAACGAACAGGAGTGTTTCATTAGGTTTTAAAGCCACGAGCGCGCAGCGCGAGTGGCTTTAGACCTAATAAAACACGACCTGCGAGTTTATTAAACGGCTTCAAACACGACTACTAATTCCATAGATTTACTGCCTTATTAGTATTCTTTATATAAAGAATACTAATGAGGACCGAACAACTACAATAGATACTGCCTTATTAGTATTCTTTATATAAAGAATACTAATGAGGACACAACTACAATAGATACTGCCTTATTAGTATTCTTTATATAAAGAATACTAATGAGGAGTGCTTTATCAGGTTTAAAGCCACTGCACGTGACATAGTATGGACATTTATGGTTGACATGATTTGTCAATAAGCTTATGAATTATTAATGAGTGTTTGAATTACTATTTAACACATGAGCAGCAGTGTTTTATATATCAGATAAAACACGCACTGCGAATGTTTTAAATTGCTTCAAAAACGATCGATCTAGTAAGTTCATTGGTGAAGTAATTTTCAAAAAAATACGTTGTGTAAGTCGAGAAAATCAAAGTTAAATCTTATGTGAATGAAGGAAAATCTCTATCACATATAAAGATACGACACGCTTATGATTTTTTTTTGTGTTTTACTCATTAATTATTGATGAGTTTTTGAAGTATAGATGAAGTTTTATACTTATAGTCTAGTGTTGACATTTACTTAATGTTGTAAGAGTTAACCTGCACCGTAGCAGGAGAACGAATGAATACCCTCATTAACTGAACGGCAGAGTGGTACTCATTCGTATGATAGACGTTTTCTATTGGCTATGAGATGAACTCATTATAATACTCGTAAACTTTCGTTTGTTGTTTATTGCTGCGGAAGCGAGCGAGCGACGCAGCAGATCTAATTTGTGTAGATGGGGATTTTTATCTCAAAACATTCTAACGCAGTGCATTGTGGTCATGCGCGATCGGAAACGCGCAGTAAGCTATTTTTGCGTCATGTTTCCAACACCGCGGAAAAATGTCTGCGCATGCGTCAACCTTGCCTGTAATAGTATTGCGAACTTGATGAGAAGCTGTTCCGAACGTTTCCGAAGGCTCAAAATGGCAGTAAAAAGGAGTGACTTCATTGTGCGTCTTTACAGCTAGATTTCGAGTGCAAAAATAAACATGTCATTCTAAAAACTAGGAATAAATACAGCCAGAAGGTTCAAGAAATTGTATTGTACAAGAACATGAACTAAAGGTGATTGTTGACAAATTTATCGTCCGAAACATTTTGTTTATCAACTAAGCAACGACAATTTCCGAATTTTCGTTTGAGATACATTTATTTAAAAAAAACTGTGTCGCCAAATATAAAAAATTTGCGTGTTCACAATAATTAAACTTTAGGATTTATTCTACAATTTGAGTGGGTTAAGAAGCTTAACTTTTCGAGAGTTTTCTTAACTTTTGAGTTTGAATTTTTGTTTTGAATAATTTTGCAAAAATTTTCGAAGTCGTGTCCGTTAAAATCAACATTTTTTTACATGAATTATATTTCATTCCATACTTTAAATGCCAGGACGCTTTCAATTAATGTCTAGTCTACGCATTTGCTATATTTTCTAGTTTGTTTTACTAATTTTTGACCAATTAATAAGCATGTTTTTGTTTTAGAAATTGATATTCAAATTCCCCGCCATATTTTCATAATTTGGTGCATGCGCAGACGTTTTTCCGCGGTGTTCATGTTTCCACGCCGTGGAACCTTGCGTTCCTAGACATTAAGACATGCAAGGACATAATAGACTTACGTTGATTCAGTTCACTGTTCAGCACAATTTCGCAGCAAGATAGTTCTGCTTTGCTTTATGAAAACATATGTTGATAAATATTTTGGTAATCAGGTACGTTTCTTTCTTTTATCCAATTTTATCCTTAATTCGAATTTGGACGTTTTAATATTCACGTGGAAGCGCAAGTATTGAAAGGCCTTCGGCCTGTTCACTCAATGGACTTTGGCCACTGTCAGTTCTATATTGTTACTAGGAGTTACTATCGCAAGGAAAGTGCTGCCTTTTTTGCCACACGAACTGAATGCAAAACCTCTTTAAAAGGGAAATTTACTTTTGACCCAATGAACTTATTCCGGCTTAAATTGCGTGCACGGACCATGGGTAAATAACCAACATGAGAAAGTTGCCATTGGGTCAAAAATGGATAAACGGCATACCCATTAGCTGACAATGCACCCCACTTTAGTATTAACTCTGTCTAACGCCAGACAAATTTACACTCTGTGACGCCAGACGAATTTACTTGTCAGTTGTAGAGTACTGTCAGTATCTGCTAATGTCTCTTATTAACCGCGATTGGCTGGCAATGCGCCATACTTTAGTATTTACTGTAAGTCCACTACCTGTAGGAAGCAATTTTGTATTGGGGGAGCTGATTAATCAGGGGCGATTATTAGGTAATTATATCCCTCTCAAACTTCACAGATTATCGCTAGCTTACAAATTATTTGGGGGAGGGGCTGAAGACCCCAGAACCCCGGTTGCTACGGCCCTGCTATCAACGCCAGACAATTTTACTCGTCAGTGCCAGTAAACGGGTTAATTTCTTGTCAACCCAATTTAAAATTTTTACGATTTTTGATGTTTCTAATTGTAGATATCTCAGCAAGTATCCCCTTCCCTCTTTAAAACGAAAAGCACCATTGTAATCCCGACAAATTAGCCTTTTCAACGGGGGTCAGATGCCTTCAAAACATTACACAAACTAAAACAATCATGTATTTACGAGAAAAAAAACATGAATATCTTCTAGACTCTTCAGAATTTGCTCAGAGTCAACCAGGGACGTTGTGGGCCCCTAAATTAAAAACTTTGCAAAAGATAAAAAATATAGATTTTAATTTTGAAAATTAAGATATTACAATTTATATTTTAAAAATCTAAATTCTTTGGAGTTAAAGTTCAAATAAATAAATTATTATAGGTCTAAATGTCAAAGTGTTTGTCATAAATATATACAAGATTTTTCTCTTTAATAATTTTTTTTTAAAACGTACCATGCAAATTAGCTAGAGTTTCATTAATTTCTTAAGCTGAATTAAGTTACTAAATGTCAAATGTTCATGATCTCAATTAATACTAAATTTTATAATACCATTGTCCATATGCTCAACTTTGATATCTGTCTGGCTTTATCCTTACTCGTCTTGGACATCAAGGCATTTCTGTCACTATGGAGGGATTTTCTGTGTGAGGTGCTTCACGTTCAGGATCTTTGGAGACGTCAGGATTTTCTCGTGTTTCACATTCAGCGTCTTCAGAGATGTAAGGATTTTCTTGTGATCTTTCTGGAACACAAAGTTCTGGGCATTCTGTTTCGTCATTTCCGGCTTTACAACAGGCTTGAAGAAAGACGAATTACGGGTTACTGATCTGGAGTCTCTCCTTGCAGTGGCCATTGATCCTTTCTTCTCCACCACTTTATATGGACGTGGATCATACGGCGGAAATATTTTACATTTGTAGTCGCTCTTCAGAAGTACTGTATCACCTTCTTCTAAATGGCTGGGTTTGACATTGGATTTCAGGTCAGCATAGTACTTCATCTTGAGTTTGGCATGATCATCGTTTTTACGTATAAAGTCATCCTGTGAGTTGGACTCTTTTCCTATTTGCGGCAAACGAGTTTTCATTGGGCGGCCAAACAGTGCAGTGGCTGGTGGGGTTTTGGTTGACGTGTGAGGAGTAGCTCTGTAGTTTCGTAAAAATTTTTGCATTTCTTGCTTCCAAACTTTGTTCTCCATCACAGCTGCCTTTATCACCTTCTTCACGGCGCGCATGAACCTCTCCACTTCACCGTTAGCCCGGGGCCAGTAAGGGGGGCCAGTAAGGGGTAACTTTTCTGTGAGTGAAGCCCAAATGCTTCGCAAATTAACTCGTTAAACTCGCGATTGTTAAGTCGATTTCACTTTCTCTTCAACCATTTCACTTTCTCTTCAACCAATCGACTGATCTTTGGAAACCAAACTTTCTCGCGTATCAATGCTTGGGTTTTAACCACTCCCATGTGACCTTCGTGAGCTATATCTATCACTTTCTCTCGTAACGCTTCGGGAATCACAATTCTATGTTCTCTCAAGACTAGGTCGGGTAGAGTACACAGTTCGTTTCTTACTTTCTCAAAACTCTGAAAATCTGAAATGTTGATTCTTGCATCTTTGGAGGTTTCGTGCCATTTCCCGGTTTGAACAGCTTTCATTACGGCTTGTAGGGTAGCTTCATTTCTCGTAGCCTACGGTGTAGACCCCAGCAGAAACACGTTTCGTGAGGGGTCTACGAATAAACGAAGAAAAGCTATCCCGGCCCACGTCATATCCGTTTTACGTTTTGGGCAAATTAACTTCAATTTATTCAAATTTCTGAAGCGTGCGTAAATGTAAATTTTCATTTGACGCTTATTAAAATGTTCCATGGCTAGGTCGGACTTTGTGCAATAAAATATACCCGACTATATATATATACCCAACCATTAAACACATGTCCAAACAGACTAAAAAGTACAAACTGTTAGGCTGTTGAAGGCTTGAAGCTTGTCAAGAAATCCAATTTCTCAAGTCGAAGGCAAAGTCGAATTCACACTAAATGTAGCCGGCATAAACATTTTATCGCAAGTCGGCTTGAATCCCAGTTTCCTCACATTTCGCTTTACTTTAAGCGGTATACCAATAGCGTTTAATGCTGTTTCGTGCACGTTCGTTATCGTGTTGTCTAGCTCACATCTTAAACCGTTCTTTGAAGCTTCTCCATTTCACCGTTTGTTTACCAACGCCAGGCATGCTTTACAAATGCTATTTGTAGGTGAAATGGAGAAGGAAAGGTCGTCTAACTCCTTACGTATGTTCTCCTTGCTGTCCAAGAAATTAATATCGCTTTTATTCGACGGGACTTTGAAGCAAATAACCGCCATGGAACATTTTAATAAGCGTCAAATGAAAATTTACATTTGCGCACGCTTCAGAAATTTGAATAAATTGAAGTTAATTTACCCAAAACGTAAAACGGATATGACGTGGGCCGGGCAAGCTTTTCTTCGTTTATTCGTAGACCCCTCACGAAACGTGTTTCTGCTGAGGTCTACACCGTAGGCTACATTTCTCGTTGCCGACTTCAAATCGGTCAGGTTAATGGCTTTAGGCGTAGAGGTTTCTGCCAGGAAATTAACGAATTCTTCAGCTACCTTCTCTTGACGGCTGTTCGGAGTAACATCACGAAGCGGATGTCTCGATAGATAATCTGCCGGATTTTCAGTTCCAGGGTGATAGCGTATTGTGACGTCATAAGGTTGTAAACGCAGGGACCATCTTTCTAGACAAGCTGACGGTTTCGATGCTGGGATTGAGAATATCGTGACCAACGGTTGATAGTCAGTAAATACGGCGAATCTTCCTCCGTACGTACAGGTAGAAATGAAAATGCTCACATGACCAAACGATGGCCAGGGCTTCTATCTCCAACTGTGAGTAATTCTGTTCTGTTATTGACAGGGCTCGACTGGCATAGGCGACTATCTTTCTTTCATCACTGTTAGGTTCCTTCTGAGTGAGCACAGCAGCAACACAGACGGGACTCGCTGCGATTACTCGCATCAGTGAAGACTTCGGTTGTCTTGATAGAATCGAAGTATGCGTTTTCTGAAGCATTCGTAAGGGCATCACGTACTTTCTCCAATGCTCGCTCTTGTTTCCCTGTCCACACAAATGGTACATAATTCTTTATGAGTTCTCGTAATGGTTGGGTCAATGTAGCATAATTTTTAACGAAACGACAACAAAAGTTCGTCATACCAAGCAGGCTTCTCACTTCCGAGGCATCTTTCGGTGTAGCGAATTCTTTAATTTTTGTTACTTTTGCTGGGTCGGGTGAAATTCCGTGCTCTGAGAATACGTATCCTTGGAAAATGAGGCTTTTCTTCTTAAATATGCATTTCCCTTTATTCAACGTGAGCCCACGCTCTCGTAGCCTTTCGAGTGCAGCTTCCAAGTTGGCGTCATGATCGTCGTCATCTGTTCCATAAATCAGAATGTCATCGCTTATGTTTAAGGCTCCTTTTAGACCACTGAGTGCTTCTCGAATCGCATTTTGAAAAATTTCAGCGGCACAATTAATTCCAAAGTTCAATCTTCGAAATCGTCGAAGACCAAGATGAGTTGAAAACTTTGTCAAATTTCTCGATTCGGGCGCTAGCTCCAGCTGGTTATACCCTTGATTTAAGTCAAGTTTGCTGAAGATTTTAGCTCCATTCAAATCATTGATAACTTCGTTGATCGTCGGAGTGATGTGCCTTTCTCTCTTTATGGACTTGTTAACTTGACGCATGCATGTCCACACAAACTCGAATCTTTCCTTCTTTCTTTGGGACCACGACCACTGGTGATACCCATGGAGTAGGACCTACTGTCTTCTCAATAACTCCTAGTTTCTCGTCATTCAATAACTGTTCCTCGAGCTTTTCCCGAACATGAAACGGAACCCTTCGCGGTGGCTGCGCAATAGGTTGCACATTATTTTCGACATGCAAACGAACCTGGAATCCTTTCAACTTTCCGAGTCCCTCAAATAGATCACTGTAACTTTCCACCAATGACTCTACTTTATCTTTTCCGGGATGTTCGACCGATTGGACTACTTGAACCAGGCCAAGCCTTTGTGAGCCCTTCCAGCTTACCAAGCAGCCAGTCGTGCCTCTGACAACAAAGAAAGTTTCCACGCTAAACTTTTTCTCTGTCTCTACTTCGCAATCACACTTGCCCACGAGTGGTAGCGGTTTGTTTGAGCCGTATGGAAATATTTTTTTCCGTTTGTTCCGCTCAATTTAGGATTTGTTCTCAGTTTAGCAAAGGTAGCTTCATCTAAAATGTTCACACTTGCGCCAGTGCCCGCCATAACATTAATCGGAGTCTCATTTATTTTGACTTTAAATTTTGGTAGCTTCTGATACGACATAGCACTGACTGTCAACGTTGAAAACACGTACTCGTCTTCTGAGCTAGATTCAACATTGGGCCCATTTAAGTTGTTTACTCGACGACTGCCTCCCGAGGGGGTTTTTAATTGCCCGCTTCGCTTCGACTGTTCGTTTCGCTTCGCGAATTTTGACTGTTCGTTTCGCTTCGACGCTTCACGTTTCTCGTTGCGACATCCACGACATTGCTTTCCATAGGCAGGACAATTATTTTTGCCTAGGACATGTTGATAACCACAAAAGCGGCACTTCGACTTCGATTGGCTTTCGTTCCGCTGTTGATTAATTTCACGGCGGCCAGTTTTCTTTGTGAGTTGATTTGCACTTTCGATGCCATCTGCTTGAACTTCGGACAGCTCCATAGACTTCGCGATCTGAATAAGTTTCTCCAACGTTATTTCAGGGTCTGCCAAGGTTTTCCTTCGAAGCTTCGACGAAATACCATTCTGAACTATCTGGGTCTTTATTTCTCTTTTCTCGTCGTGAAATTCACAGTACTTTGCCAATTGCTTTAATCTAGTAAAATATGCAGAAATGTTTTCTCCCGGGAGTTGCTTGGCTTGTCGAAATTTGTAGACTTCAAATTCAAGATTCTTCTGCGGGAATAGTTCTTTAACGCCTTTTCTGCTTTCGTAAATACATCTTCGTTTTCATCAGCTGCTTGTACTTCTAAGGTCTCGAATATTTCGTTGACTTCTTCCCCAACGTAAAGTAATAACATTGCTTTCTTTCTAACAGCGCTTGTTATATTCATGGACAAAAGCATGTTCTCAAATCTTGACACATACTTTCTCCATTCTCGGCTAAGATCTCCTGCTTGTAAATCAAAAGCTGGAAATGTCGGTAATGCAGCCATCCTCGAATCCTCGTCGCCAAAATGTAATGTCCACTCCTCGTTCTAAGTTTAAATTGACTAACCCTTTATTAACTTAGTTTACCGAATTTTATACAAAATACATGTCCACTAATTATTCATTCAAATTATTCATAATAAGTTCATAATAAGAGTAAACATTACATGGCCAAATCCATATCCGAACTGGCATCTGATTGGCTAGTTCTAACATCGGATATTGTTTTCTCACCATGTTTTTATGGTATCCGGTTATGAATTTGGCCAGAGCCCCTCCTCGCACCGCGCGTAAGAAGGGCTCTGGGTACGAGAATGGAGTGGGGGTGGGGCACGTGAGTGAACGAAGTCTATTTTTATCAGATTATTCTAACCATATATATATGAAGTAGCATACCTTCCCCCCCCCCCCCAACGTGTTTATGACTCGTTCTTTAGAAGGATAATTTCCATAGTTTATTGTCTTTTATTCTTATAATCAACCAATCACAACTGACCTGTTCATATCAGTACGGGGCGACTCACTTACATCGTTATAGTACTAAGACCCTTCGGCAAGTCTACGACCTAGTGCCATACTGGGCCATGGCATAAATACGTACGACGTTTACGCCGATATTAAACGGAAAGCAAACTTCAAAAACCGCCAGGTTCACCAGTAAAATCATTCAAACTTAACCCTCTATTCTCTAAACGTTTGCTACTTCTTCGAAATCCTCCCCCCCCCCCCTCTAGGATTGAACAAATAAGCATAATCCCGATTGAAAAACTATGGCTACGTTACACTGTACTGCGGGATAACTTGAAAAAACACCTATCTGTGCATTTTTAGAACGCTAGTTTCAGAGGAATTATTGCAACGGGGAGATGTTGTTTCCCCCAGCTTCTGAAAGCTGTATATTCCATATCGGATAAGTCCTTTTTCGCGCCGCTACGGAAAGTTACCGGTACCCGTATCAGTGTAGACGTATCCCAAGAAAACAAAATCAATGTTACATATTGGCAAGGCAGTATACTCCAGGGGGGGGGAGGACTTTTGAAAAGGGACCTTTCTGTGAGATAATCTATTAGAAAAAAGTATTAAATAAAAGTATTAAATAAATTATTAGATAAAAGTATTATCAAAAACCTCTTGTGTGATCCTTGATTTAAATTAAAAACACAAAATTATTTAATATATTAGAGGGGGATAGGAATGGCTGAAGGTCACGTGTGTGGCCGATATCCCACGCATAAATTTGAAGCACGGAAATGCCGTTTCCTGCATTCTGAGCATTCAAATTTGCTCCAAAATTTATGCTAACTATACTTGTATTTGAAATAAATGAAGGAAAAAACGCACAAAAAGTTTATAAAAATATTAATCGTAATTTATCATTACTTATTAGAGGGGGATTACCCTGGCCCAAAGGGGTTTTAGGTTTGACGAACGCGAAATGCGAGAAAACGCGCGAAGAGAAAGGAAAAACCTCTGGTGAATTTGTTAGCGATTCCTTGTTCGGATAATATTATCCAATCATTATCCTTGACGCCAGGCCGTCTAGACAGGGTTTTATTTACATGTAAAAATATCGCATGTATACTGTCCAGTGCCAGAGGTCCAGTGCATGCCTGCCCATTTGTAGCAATATTCATTCTCCTGAATTTCATTCAATTTAAAACATCACATCTATTCAATTTAATATAAATATATATTTATATTCATTCACTTTAATCTTGCAATATACATTCAATTTAATCCTGCAATATACATTCAAAAAAATCTGTATTTAAATTTATTAAGCACACCTCTTTGGGCCGACGTGAACTTTGTCTGTTAATACAAAAGCAAGCAAATTTGTCTTGTAGATTTCAAACGAAACCATTTCTCTCCATTTCGCATTTCGAATATAAATAGACTCGGGATTACAAAATACGAATGTAAACTCTCCACCTAGTATTGCTTTCTCGTCCTCTTCGCTTGACAGTGAAGTCAGCACGGCATCCACTCTTTCTTAGTTCACGGACGTGAGAGTCAATGAAAGAGTTCAATTTGCAAATGACTATTAAGATGGGTTTCTCCAGAAAATTGTGACTTTTGCCAAGTCGTCGTGCTACTCTCGGTGCTAGAACTTTGGAATATTAAACTCTTCCCATAACCGATAGCAAGATGCAAATAATTCTTTAATGTGAATCAAATTGGACAAGGCGCGGTATTGATGCTCCGTTAAACTTTTAATTCAGGAAATTTATCAATCTATCTATATTAATGCAGCCTATAAAACTGCTTCTTTCAACTTTTGTTCGTTTATATAGACATTTCAAAATTCAATTATTTATTTTTTTTATTTTTTTTTTAACAGCTTTATTAGGAACTAAATATATTACATTAATAAGGTACAAATACAACAAACTTAACATGCAGTTCCTAAACGGGAAGATAGCGAACGGGCCATAATAGCCCATGCGAAGCTACCTCCCGATTTGACTTCTGTCGACATTTACAAATTTACATAAAATTAAAAATTTTAAATGGTTGAAAGCACGTTTACACACATTCAGGCCAAAGTGATAGGACCTATGTTAAAATAATTCTTTGTAAGCCAGATAAAACGTCATTTGGTGGCATCAATCATAAAGAGGTACCCCGACCGGTCGTAATGCGTAAACGAGCTTTAACTCCTGTGACAAGCACAATCTCTAACAACTGACCAAGTACATGTCAAATTTGCATAAAAAACATTCAATAAAAGTTCATTATAATGATTGATTAAGAACGTTTTAAAAGTGGTGACACTAGTAAAGCTGCTACATGTGGCAACTTTGCATATAGAGTTCCATATCTTTACAATTCGATTAAAAAATGAGGCCTGAAATGTAGTTGTTTTACAATATGGTATTTTTAAAACAAGGGTGGAATTACTACTGAGACGTGTTCGCCCATGAGTGACAAAGGAGACAAAGTCTTCCACATTTAAGTCGTAAAATCCATGGAGAGCTTTATAGAAGAACATCAAGTCTCTTATTTCTCGATCATAACATAAAGGTAACATATTTAGAACAGATAACCTGTCTCGATACGGAACATCTCCCACATTTACCTTCAGGATCCATCTAG